TCTCCAGAAGCAAAATCATCCTGGTTACCTAGAGACGGAAGACAAACAAACTACCCTGCATGGGGCAGAATTTCTTAGCAGCTGTTGTCAAATCACATGACCGCTTTTGCAGTAGCAACCTTTACATTCTTCCCTGTTTTCCGGTGGAACAAGGTTTATTGTGGGATGTGGGTTTGCCGTTTATGACTCCGGTTGCAAAAACAGTAAAGGCAATAATAATAGATATATAAATCACAGCTCTGAAAGTCAACTTGATTTCCACGTCACTCCTTGGTGGTCTCTGTGCTTTTGGCATTTTGGTCAAAGGGCAGCAGCAGGAGCTCTTTTCCCGCTAGCCCTAGAAGCTTCCAGGCAGCAGCCCGAAGGACCCAGCCTAGCCTGACCTCGTCAGAGCACAGAAGCGAAGCAGGGGGGTCGGCACCTGGACGGGGAGGCCACCAATGCCCCCTTCTCTAAGCAGTGGAGACTTGTGAACAAAAATCCTACTTCGTGCGCTCCTGGCCATTCAAGTCGTGAGCGAGCAATCTGGCTGCTGCATCAATGAGTCTGCTCTGGAGCCCTCCTTCCTGAGCCGAGACAAAAATGTATGAGCCGGAGGCTAGAAAACCTGTGACCTGGCTCACACTAATTCAGCTTAGAGGGAACACTGGAGACCACCAAGGAAGGCTGGGGCTGCTACACAGAGGAAGGCAAATAGCAAACTTCCTCTGCTCCTCTCTTGCCTTGAGGGCCTTCTGAGACGGAACGTCTTGGGGCTGCCATGAGTCAGTTGCGACTTATTGGCAGACTTAACTTACTTAAAGGTAAAGGTTTCCCTCGCTCGAAAGCCAGTCGAGTCCGACTCTAGGGTTGCGGTGCTCATCTCCGTTTCAAAGCCAAACAGCCAGCGCTGTCTGAAGATGTTTCCGTGGTCATGTGGCCGGCACGACTAAACACCAAGGCGCACGGAACGCTGTGACCTTCCCACTGAAGTGGTACCTATTTATCTCCTTGCAATTTCTTGCTTTCGAAGTGTCTAAACTGCTGCTTTGCACATGCGCAAAGAGACTGCGCCAGTGACCACCTGAAGGACAAGAGTTGCCAGGTATTCAGCCTGTTTTTCGAATGCAGCTTTTGTTTCATGCGGCTTCTTTTTTTTTCCTAGTGGAGGACACACAAAGTTACCGGAGAGATGAGCCCCGGCGGTGTGGAACCACAACAGAAGAGCCCTAATGAGGCTTGGGGCCTCACAGCTACCTCATTTCGGACCAAGTGCAAGCATCGGGGTGGCTGAACCCCCGTATTCTGGCACAGCCCCATGGGCTACGGACCGTGGACTCCTGCTTTGAAGAGTTTTCAGAAAAAGCATCGCTTCTCAACGGGCAGAAACCCACCCCCAGCTGGGGCGGGGAAAGCTGGGGGGAAATGCAGCTGAACTGCCCCTGGCACGAGAGGCGTAAGGAATTGCCAGGTCCCCATGATGGAAGGACAGAAACATTTTGGGACGTTGCCGCTTGCTTGCTTCCTCGGGAGCAGAAGCAGCCACTGTCTGAATGAACGGAGCCTGGATTGGCCTCCACAGGTGGGGGACTTGGCCTGCAGCAGGCGGTTCTCGGCCGGTCAGTGGAAGCACTGGGCCTCTGACCACTTTCCCCTTAGGCGCAGAAAGAGGGTCACAATGGGCTGGAAAGGGTTTTTCTCTCTGCATTTCGGAGTGACTTACTATGAGGCCCCCTGAGGAAAAGGAAGTAGGTTTCAAGCTTGCTGGGCTGAGGTGCCCAAACTGGCCTGTTTTGTCCCTGTTGCGGATAGCAAGGGCGGGTGCGACCTCCCCTCCCAAGTCTCCTGCCCACCGCAGTGGGAAGTGGGCATCGGAGGCCACAGCTGTCTTGGCGGCGAGTCTGTGCACCAGGGGAGACACGCCGAACAATCCCCACAAACCCCGGGTGCTAAACGGCACAGCAATGCCGTTAAAACAACGAAGAAGCACGGCGATGAATCTGTTGGTAGCCAAGACAGAGATGTTTCCTCAGTCTTCGGCCTTGAACTGTGGGCTGCATCATCCCTAAATGTTCCAGTACCATATGCCCAAATGTTGGTGGGACTAGCTAAAGCACGAGCCCCCCGTCTGGCTGAAGGTGAGGTCACAGGTGTAGGCAGGTATGGGTCACAGATCCATGAGAGCAGGAACTGTTACTCCCTGGATTGTTTTGGGGGGGGGGATAGTTTGGAATCATAGCAGCCCACAGGGGCAAACCTACAGAAACACCCATTGGGGGGATGGAGGGAGTTTTCTTTCTGCCCTACGTGTGCCCACAGAACCCCAAACTGCACAGGGCAAGAGGTCATTTCGAGCCCAGGAGCGCCTTAGAGACCAACAAGATTTTTTTTGGGGGGGGGAGGGAGGTGGAGAGATAAGCTCTGGAGAGCCAGAGCTCCCTTCATCAGATACAAGCCAGAATGGAGACCCCGGAGTCCTTCTGTCCCAGGTGGTGGGTTAGGGTGCTGCAAAGAAAGGATGCAGAGGACCAATGCACATCGCAATCAGCTTGCTTCGAGCAGGGAAGACGTCCTTCGGGACAGAAAGTGAGCACCTGTAGCGCAATACGAATCCAGTGTCCCTATTCTGCCCGGGGTGTGGGTGTGTGTCCATTTTCCTGAATTTGTGAGTGAACTCACGGTCGCCGTTTCTGAGGGAAGGGACAACCCACCCCACCCCCACCCCGATTCAACTGTCCTGAAAACACGGCCTTGCTGCTTGGCTAAGAGTGCTGATGCCACTCGGGGCGGAAACCGGCAGGCCTTTGGAAGGTGGTGTTGTGTAAATAGTATGATCTTTAATAAATACTGAAAACGGGAAAGACAGACAGAGCCTGACTCGTCCATGCGTTACTTAACTCATTTTTTTTATTAGTTAACCATGCCTGACAACCGGCTGATATACACGGTCAGACTTCGTTGTCGGGAAGGGGGAAGAGGTGACAGCCAGCCCCTTCCTCTGTTCTCCTTCCTCTCAGTTACTCCGTTACGAAGTGGAAGAAAGCCCTGGACTCTGCACGGGCGGCTTCCAGTGCCAAAACCAGATCTTTAAGAGTTGTAAATACTGTCGGCAGCAGAAGTGTAATCAACCAGAAGCAAAAAGGGAGGGGGTGGGCTGCAGGGAGAAAGACACGCACACGTGTTGCGGCGTCAAAAGGGGGGGCCGCAACCAGCTATCAGCAAGGAACTAACTTGTTCCCATTCAAACTAGCCGGGTGACCTCCGACACGTCACAGCATTGTCAGCCTAGAAATAAGCATAGCTCGCCACCTAGTGGTGCCAAAAAAGAGCTACAGCTTCGGCAGCCAAACTATCCCACCACCGTGGGGATCTCCTGGCTATTCCACACACAACACGATACAATAATTTCAATTGTGGGGCATAATTTTTGTTTGGGTGGGGGGGGCATGACAGACCCATGTTCATTTGTCCCAAACTATTATACGCTGAAGGACTGATTTCTGCAGGCACCTCGGAGTATAAAAGATCTGATGGAGGAAGAAACGGATTTTGCCTGCCTCCGTTGTATGTCTCCCCCTTTCTAGGGCTGGAGCCGCGGCAAGCATCTGAGGGGCGGGGGTTTCTCTTCATTAGCCAAGACGGACGTCCGCCTTGAATTCCCACCTCTGGTCTTTGATTTTAAAAAAAAGCCCTGCCTCGTTTGTCTTTGAAGACAACACAGAAAAGTAAGGTGAAAATTGGAAAACACTCTCCTTTCACACGGAACATTCAAAGAGGAGATTGTGCCTTCTCCTGCGGGGTGTGGGTGTGTGTGTGCGTCAGGAAACAGCTGGTTACCTTTCACATCACCGAGAAGGAAGCCAGGCCCCCCTCCCCTTGGAGCTTTCCCCCAACAGGCGTCTTGCTCTTGAGATTTCCGGGGGGGGGGAGGTGGGGGGGGGGGAGACAGCTGAATACAGACGTCATCATCCTGTCCTGTCACGAAACAAGATGTGTATGGTTTGTGCCCTTCTCTTTCTGCCAAATCCGCTGGCGAAGCTGCAGTTTAAAAATGTCTTTTTTTAAAAGGGGCCGTGAAAAAGTCACCAGGTTGGGGGTGGGGGCCCTGTACACAACCCCCCCACACACACACACACCACACCACATAAATTTAACAGGGAGAGGAACAATTGAAACCGGAAGCAGCCTTGCGGGCCGGTTTTCCCTAGAGCGAAAGAACCACGAATGCCCCAAAAGACTGTGCTAGGAAAAGTACCACGAGAGGCCCCCTTTCTTTCTTTCGTTGGGACGCTCTGGGAGTGCAATGTACCATCCCTCCCCCCCCCCTAAAAAAGAAAGGGGCTTGAGCAGAATGAAAAAACGCCCTGCTGCTTCCGGAAGAAGACCTGCCCCCCTGTCAGTCGAGCTTCCAAACACAGGAGAGACATCCACGGGGCCCTTCCAAGCCTCTGATGGTTCTCGAGTCCAGCGGTTGGGGCCCTGGGTTCTTCTGGACAGACCCCGTTAGTGGGGGCGGCTGCTGGACTCCAGGTGGGACCGTTTGCCAGGGGCCAGGACGGGGCTGCTGTCCACTTGTTCCGGGAAAGGCCTCTTGGAGGAGCGGGCGTGCCCATTGGGGCCCCCGCGGTGCCACTTGCAGAGGTCTCCGTTCAGGATGTCTTGGATGTGCTGCACAATGAGATTGATGGCAACTGCAACAGAAAAGCAAGAGGCCAGAGGTGGGAATTTGGCACCGTGCTTGGCCTCCCCAGGCTCACACATGGGGCAGGAGGGCAGCAGCCACCCCCTTCTTGGTTTGGGCATCCTATTTGACACGGGGAACCTGCGGGCAGAGTGTTTAAGGAGAAGACGAGTTGGTTTTTATACCCCGCTTTCCATTACCCGAAGGAGTCTCAGAGCGGCTTACAATGGCCTTTTTCTCCCCACAAGGGACACTCTGGGAGGGAGGTGGGTCTGAGAGAGTTCTGAGAGTTCTGTGACTGACCCAAGGCCACCCAGCTGGCTGCATGTGGAGGCGTGGGGAATCAAACCCGGTTCTCCAGATCGGAGTCTGCTGTTCTGAATCACTACATCATGCTGGCCGAATTGCTTGTTTGGGACACATGAGGACTAAGTGCATACTTAGCAAAATTAATAAGAAGACAAGAGCCTGGCTGCTATAATGAAAGATTTCTAATTAGCTCAAAGCCTGCGTACACAGGGGAGGCTGGACTTGAATCTCCGCTCTGACTCTTTTTAATCAGCTGCCTCAGGAAACGGACGAATTCTGCACTTAACACACAACCGGAACATTCAATCACTCCCACAGCAGTACCACAGCACCCTGTCTGTGGAGGAGGCTGCCCACTGTGCCTCTGCATGAGTCACTCCTCTTTTCAAACAGGAAGCAGAAACGGGGGGGAAATGTGCCATGGCTAACAGAAGTTTACAAAACACTGCTTGGGAGGGGGTTGTCTTTTACACACATAGAGTTGGTCAGCTTAACTGAGAACCAATAGGATGTAGGGGCTTGTGTGACATAGAAGGGAGGTCTGTATTCAAATCTCCACTCTGCCGTGAATGCCACGGCAATTTCCCAACTAGTAACTCTTTTCCAACCAGAGTTGCTGTGTGGAAAACCACACCCCCGAGCTCCTGGAACAACAATGGGATGTGCTTGTAATCAGGGGTCGTTTCGTAGAAAAAGAGCTAGGGGGACTCATTAGCATAACTCATTAGCATATGCCACACCCCCTGACATCACCGGAAGTGTGTCATAAGGCCACACCCCCTGACATCACCGGAAGTGTGTCATAAGGCCACACCCCCTGACATCACCGGAAGTGTGTCATAAGGCCACACACCCCGCCCCCAACGGTCCCGGCCGCCACCTGCAAGGCGGGCGGGAGTGCAAGGAAGCCCCGCAAAGGCCCTCCCTGGCCCCAGGCAGGCAGGGGTGGGGAGAGGCAGGGAGGGAGCAACTTACCCTCCCTCTTCTCCTGCCTCCTCCTGGCTGAATGAGGGCCGGAAGCAGGGGGCGGGGCTTCGTCATGTGCCCCGCCCCCATACCTCACCCGGGGGAACTGCGATCCCCCGCGATCCCCCCCCCGAAATGACCTCTGCTTGTAATAAACAGAGAATACCACCTATTTTGCATTCCCAGATTTCCATTTTGAAGCAACTGAACTTTTAGCAGTTATCTGCCTATTTTCCCTTAGCCGGTCAAAGGGGATCCCTTGCTGAAGTGTTAACAGGACCACAAAAGGACCACCTCCGAACTTAGCAGGATCACACATCTCGTATCCCAGTTCTTAAGGGAACAATTTTTTCACCCAGTAAATTTTAATTGGGGGGGACAGGGAGGGGTCCTGCCACCAGTACATGAACCTGGCAACCCCTTCCCAAAGCAAATTCTATTCTCCCCACCCCCCGCCGCCGCACCCGGCTCCATTTCCCACCCTGGCTCATCTTCACCATTTGTACATCCTGCTCCGTTATGCATTCTGCTTACTATAAAATGTGTGTAAAAAAGATGCTAAGGTAGCAAAAGCTAATTCACTAAAGGACAAAAATATGCATATAAACAATAATACATATATTACCAAAAAGTACAAGTTCATACAGCAATTCAGCAGGTAAGTTCAACACAGACAAATTCAACAGGTAAATTCAACAACCGTTTGCTGAATTTACCTGTTGAATTTGTCTGTGTTGAACTTACCTGCTGAATTGCTGAATTTACTTGTTACTTGCTGGATTTGCCTGTTGAACCTGTCTGTGTTGTACTTACCTGTTGCTGAATTTACCTGTTGAATTTGTCTGCGTTGAACTTAACCTGCTGAATTGCTGAATTGACTTCTTGAATTTGAACTTGCTGAATTTGCTTGCTGAACCTGTCTGTGTTGAACTTACCTGTTGCTGAATTTACCTGTTGAATTTGCCAGTGTTGAACTTAACTGCTGAACTGCTGAATTTACCTGTTGAACTTTTACTTGTACTTTTTGTTAATATATGTATCATTATTTATATGCATATTTTTGTCCTTTAGTGCATTAGTTTATGCTACCTTAGCATCTTTTCTACACAGCTTTTTTGCTTTGGTATTTGCCTTTGCTGTGTGATCGCTTATTGCTTCATGTACTTTAAAATGTGTTTCATGCCAGTTGGGCAGGCACAGAGAGTGTCCCCCCCACCACCAGTTGCTGGTGGTTATCCATCCAGACCTCCAAAATCATAGGAATGAGTCAACCCACTGAGTTATCTAACAGCTGCCTTTCAAACTGCGAGCAACCCAAGGCCGTGTACAATGCAAAAAAAAAAGGTCACCAATAAACACAACTTTTACCCACATTAGAAAAGCCACAATATCAACAACCTAAATTTGCAGCAGCAAGTGAAAGAAAAAGAAAGAAAACCCCATCAGGATTTACCAAATCACAAGCCACAGAAAAGCTTTTGGATATTTGTCAACAAAAAAATGTAAAAGAAGCCATGTTGGTTCAGGCCAATGGCCCATCCAGTCCAACACTCTGTCCAAAACCCAGGTGCCGTCAGGAGGTCCACCAGCAGGACCAGAACTCCAGAAGCCCTCCTGCTGTTGCCCCCCCCCCCAAGCACCCAGGCTACAGAGCATCACTTGCCCAACACTCTGTCCAAAACCCAGGTGCTGTCAGGAGGTCCACCAGCAGGACCAGAACTCCAGAAGCCCTCCTGCTGTTGCCCCCCCAAGCACCCAGGCTACAGAGCATCACTTGCCCCAGACCGAGAGTTCCTATCTATACCTTGCAGCTAATAGCCACTGATGGACCTCTGCTCCATATGTTCATCCAATCCCCCTTTGAAGCTATGCTTGTAGCTGCCACCATTTCCTGCAGCAGTGAATTCCACATGTTAATTACTCTTTGGGTGAAGAAGCGTTTCCTTTTTTCTGTTCTCAGCTTACTGCTCATTAATTTCAATGAGTGCCCGTGAGTTCTTGTATCGTGAGAAAGGGAGAAAAGTACTTCTTTCTCTACCCTCTCTATCTTGTGCATAATTAAAATAGTAAAGTAATAAAAACTGGGGGGGGGGTTGATGGTCAGACAGATTTCCCTTTGGCAGGGAACTGCAAAGTGTTGGTGCCACAACACAGAAGGTCCTGCTTCTCATCCTTGATTATCTAATTTGGGTGAAATGAAATACAAAAAAACCCTGGCCAGCCAACCTCCAGGAGTGAGGAGGCACATACGGGAGAATCTTCTCACAAGTAGACCAGGCCCAGCAAAGTGGAGCTGCTACCAGCTACACAAAACCATTTTGCCTCAAGGGCACCCCTCGTAAAAGCTCCCATTTGGCCCCTGGCTCTTCTGTCCTCATTCTGACTTTTCCAACTGAGACTGGAGCTGCTGCTATATATTTCTAACCTTCGGAAGATGCATCCCATTGGAAAGTGAAAGAAAAACCTCTTACCCATGTTATCTACTCCTCGAGGGATAATCACATCAGCGTATTTCTTGGTCTGCAAATGAGAAATATAACCGTGATGCTCACGAGGGTGAGCCGAGAAGGAAACGACGACTAGAGGCATCCGATTTCAGCCACGAGGGAAAAGGACTAATCCCATTCCTCCGCTGCCAGGGAAGCTCCTTGCACTCCTTGGTGAAATCGAACATACGAAAGAAAACCAACCATCTCAGTCCACCGACCTCCCACACTTTTGAGAAAGCAAACACGGGGTTTGAGAAGCGGGGGAAAGGCTTTCAGTACCGGCAAGCAGAATTCTTCAAAGGCGGGCTTGACAAAAGTCGTGTACTGGGTCAGAATCTGTTCCAGGTCCCTTCCCCGTTTCATATCCCGGAGAACTTCAGGAGAAGGAAACAAGAGGCTAATTAGAGCTTTACTGCCTGTGAGAATTTCCAACATTTATGGAGGGGACCCGAGGAGGCACCATCACCGGGTGTCTCCAGAGCCAGGAAAGACCCTCCTGGGGATTTTTTTTAGCAGCCACCGCACTAGAATCAGTAGGGCTCACTTCTTCTGTGAGCACTCACAACTGCAACCAATATTTTGGAATACTGTAGCGTCCCTCTATGATGTTAGAAAGGAACTGCCAAAAGAGCTATCCATAAAATCAGAATTTATTGCGTTTTGGACTTCAGTTGGCCAGCCCTAGGTATGGGAAATTTGCCTGCGACAAGAAAACCTTGGTTACAATTCCAAAAGAAAGTGACGAGGAGACCAACCACAGAAAGACTGCCAGGGAGGCTGAAACCTGTTGCCAACGCACAGCCAGTCCCTAATTACAAACCATCAGGGAGCGCTGCTGGGTTCCTACCATTTGGAAGTGGCGAAAGTCACCTTCCTTAAAGAACTGCACATCCTCCAAGCATGGAAAGTGCAAAAAAACCCAAAAAAACCCCGCTCCTTCATTCTTTCTTCATCTACTCCTTCGTTTTTTCTTCTGTTTTGAGACCAGACCAGTGGCAAGAGACCTTCAAAGCAAGAGATGTTCAGAAGGGGTCTGCTATTGCCTGCCTCTGTGTCACAAGCCTGGTATTCCTTGGAGATCTCCCATCTAAATCCTAGCCAGGGCTAACCCTGCTTAGCTTCTGAGATCTGACAAGATCTATCCAGATCACCAGACTAAACGCGCACTGTTCTCGCACAAAGCTCCTCTATGTATTTATTTAAAACATTTATCTCCTGACTTAGCTCCTTGGACTCAACGCAGTCGACGAAGCGCTGAAGGTAACCCAGAATCCATCTGGGCCAGTTGCCTCCTCTTTGCATCCTGCAATGTTGGGGTGTGTGTGTTGGCGATTACCTCTCCGGGAGAGTCTCACATCTGAGTCCGTGTCGACAAAGAGGCGGAGGTGAAACATGTCCCGGATGTCTTGATTGTAGAACACCAAAATCCCCTCAAAGAGAACCACGTCTGCGGGGTAGACCACGGTCGTCTCAGGCAACCTGCGGAGGGACGCCACGCAGTTCCTCCCGCCTGGCCCCCACCCCGTCACTCCACGGCTTACTTGGCAGAGGCAGCCGTAAGGCAATGCCAAACCTCTCCCTCCTGCACTGGGTATTGGGTCGGGGGGCAATGCTCCCTCTAAGCTGTGGAGTCTTGTGAGCAAGAATTCTACTTTGGGAGCCACTGGCATTAAACTTGTGAGCGAATGATTTGGCTGCTGCATACATTAGTTTGCTCTGGAGCCGTCCCTTCCTGAGCAAAGACACCTGGTGTTTTTGGCCACTGTATGATACAGAGTGTTGGACTAGATGGGCCACTGGCCTGATCCAACATTGGCTTCTCTTATGTTCTTATGCTCTTAAGGCTTTATTTTATTGATTTTTAAACATTTTTATGCCACCTTTCCACCCGATCAGGGTCCCCCAAGGCGGCAAACATTTTAAAAAGTAAAAACATTTGAACAGTTAAATATCTAATTAGAACTGTAGAATAATTCAATAAAAACACATAGTAAGACAACGCCAGAAACAGGAAGGAGGACCAGTAGTTGTCACTGGGGATATGCCGAAGGAAACAAAAAGTCTCCGTCCACTACCAAAAGACACCAGTAGAGGGAGACAGACGAATCTCCCTAGGGAGGGAGTTCTAAAGTTTTGGTGCCAGGACCCAGAAGGCTCTTCCTTGGATTGCTTACCCGCCTAGCCTCAGATGGCAGGGGCAGTTGAAGTAGGGCCTCTGAGGATGCCTGGAATGTACACGCAGCTTTGCGTGGGAGAAGGCTTGTTTAATGCCCTTACGGGGCCGCGTGGAAGGCCTTCAGATCCCATGCCAAAAAGGAGCTCTTATACTTCACACACCGTGCAGTTACAGTGGGGGCCACATATTTGTTACAAACTCTGATCAATGTAAATGTGATGGTGCGTGCATGCGCATACTTGGCCTCTTCTCCTCAATCCACCTGCAATGCACTTTCCAACGGGATTTTGCCAGTTCACACAGTAAAAATCCAGCTTCAAAGTGCACTGAAGGTGGGTTGAAAGTGGATGATTTAGCGTGTGTGACCACAGCCCTAGACTCATAGAATCACAGAGTTGGAAGGGGCCATACAGGGTCAGCCGAGAGCATCCCTGACTAGTGTTTGTCCAGCCCCTGCTTAATGACTGCAGGTGAGGGGAGCTCACCACCTCCCTGGGCAGCTGATTCCACTCTTGCCACAACTGTGACTGTCAAAACGTTTTCCCTAATATCCAGCCGGTACCTTCCCGCCCTTAATTTAAACCCATTCTTGCGAGTCATATCCTCTGCTGCCCAGCAGAACAGCTCCCTGCCCTCCTCTAAGCGACGGCCCTTCCAATACTTCGAGAGAGCCATCCTGTCCAGACTTTTCCAGACTCAACATCCCCAAGTCCCTCAGCCTTTCCTCCTAGGGCTGCATCCCCAGCAAAGATAAAATTCCCACAACTCTTTGGATGAAGGATGACAATTAAAGAGGCTTCTGTTGGTAGCAGAGATGTTGTCCAGGGGGAGAGGTACAGAGAGAGCGTGTCAGAACCTCACAGGTTTCTCCCACACAGTTCATTTCTAGCCATCGAAATGGGTTCCTGTGATACGGCATGGGCCTCGAGAGAGGAAAAAAGAAGGCCTCACACTGCAGCCGTTAGAACCATAGGTGCTTATCATTATGTTTTATTTGTTTTAAATATTTCAGACATAACGTGTGTTTTTAATGCTTTTCAATGCTCAAAATGTTTTAATGTTTGCTGCTGTGAGTACGTTGAGTTGAGCTGGAAGGCGGCATAGAAATGTTATAAATAAAATACGGAGTAATAAAAGAGCCTCCTAAGGACTGGAATCAGGGGCCCCGCGGGGCACTTTCGGCACAACCAAGGCAGTGAAACTCTCTCACACTGACAAAGAGTGCTTTGCCTTGGAGGTAAGAAATTTACACTGACCTGGAATGAGTCACAAAGTCATAGGTTGGGACCTCAACTGTCTGGCCATCCACAATGTTCTTCAAGGTCGTCTGCATCAACTCGTTGTCAAAAGCGTCTGCACATTTAAAAAAAAGGTTCTGTTAAACATCCAGAAATCAGTACTACTAGTTCATCCTAAGGCCCAATTTGCTTTCTACCCATTTTCACATGGGAGATTTTCCCGTGTGGTCCAAAGCCACACTGCACCAATACCGGCTGTGAAATGGGAACCATTTCTTTGCATTTTGGGATAGGCGGGTTGTCAAAACTTAAAATATACAGAGGCGGGGAAAGTTTGATGGCTTTTTATTTTTTGCAAACGTGAAAACAATCTTTTCTGAATGAACAAGAAAACTATGCCAGCGTCTCAATCTCACCCCACCCTCCACTCCTTTCTTTAGTCTCCGACAAAAGAGGAAATATATGCTCTAAGCAGCGATTTCTCCATAGGCAACAGCATCGATACAACAGGGTAGGTTTCATGAAGACACAAAATTCATTATAATTAAGAACGTGCTCGTGCCACAGCGCTATAACACAACACTCCAGGCTAACTAAGGCCCAATTTGCTTTCTACCCATTTGCACATGGGAGATTTTCCCATGTGGTCCAAAGCCACACTGCACCAACACCGGCTGTGAAATGGGAACCATATGAGTTGTGGAACGGCACGCAACAGGACCTTACGGAAGCTGTTCCCACAATGGTCACAATGGTAACAAAGGCTGCATTGCCCGTTTTACAGGTGGGGATGCTGAGGCATGAAGACGTGACCACCAGCCCTTCTTCTGTGTCTCCTCAACTTCTACAGTTCTTTGCATTTTGGGATAGGCGGGTTGTCAAAACTTAAAATATACAGAGGCGGGGAAAGTTTGATGGCTTTTTATTTTTTGCAAACGTGAAAACAATCTTTTCTGAATGAACAAGAAAACTATGCCAGCGTCTCAATCTCACCCCACCCTCCACTCCTTTCTTTAGTCTCCGACAAAAGAGGAAATATATGCTCTAAGCAGCGATTTCTCCATAGGCAACAGCATCGATACAACAGGGTAGGTTTCATGAAGACACAAAATTCATTATAATTCATATCAAGAACGTGCTCATGCTACAGCGCTATAACACAACACTCCAGGCTATAACACTGTTTTGCTGTTGTGTTATAGTGCTATGGCGCTATAGTGCTCTAAAGCGAACGTTCAAAAAAAAAAAGCCGGCGATCACCCGCACGGGAGAAAAACGGCGGGGAAAAAACGGTTCGGATCCGGGGGAAAGGGGTTTACAGGTAAAACGGTTCAGCCCCGTTTCCTGAATGGGACAGAAGGGTTTGTGTGTGAAAGTACAAATATATTCCAGTAGGGAACCGGTTCTAAAACGGTTCTGACTGAAATGTCAGACCAGAAACCGTTTGGGAACCGTTCCTGAACCGAAATATATTGCCTGTCTGAAATTCCTCAGTGTTTCATAAACAGTGCGTACAACAAGACCAACGGCCTTTAAAAACTGACGCGCACACACACACACCCCAAGCTGCTGTTACTTTGCTTTCTTTCTGACCCAGGAGTCAGGGCCTGTAAGACGGAGCTGTTCCTCGAGGTCTTTGACTGAGGCTTTGGGCATCCATGTATGGCTTGTCCACTGTGCATTAAAATGCATTAGATCCACTGACAATTGGCCATTATCCACCTGTTACCATCGGGCATGGGAACCCTCTAGCAGCCAGCCAATTTTCGATTTTTGTTTTGAGCTGCAGCCACCAATTTTAATGTTTTAAATTTTAACGGTATCTATTCTATTGTTTTTGATATGATGTCACCCGCCCTGAGCCCGCTTGCGGGATGGATGGGCTAGAAATATGAAAAATAAATGAAAAATAAATAAGAGAAAAGCCAAAGAGGAGAGCTGTTCAGCAGCTCCATCGCATTTACCAAAATCTTGCCCAACGTTTAAAAGTAATTATTATAATAGTGCATTATAATTCGTGGATTTCATTGTTTTACAATAACGGATGGCTAATTTGTTTGTGCAAATTAGTACAGTATCAAACCTGTTGATGATTAAAATATATTTTTTTAGTGATTTAAAAATAGTTCACCACACTTGACTGCTCAGTTGACTAAATCATTTTTGACTGGTCAGACGAGCAACCCCAAGGTTTCCAGGAGCACACCTGAAAAACCTAAAGAGACCACCATCTGCGAACCAAAAGGGCTAAGCTAACACTGTATGTTATAAAAGTACAAATGTTTATTAAGGTGTACACATGTTAAAACATATTATGATTAAAAGAAAGAGTCTAAATATCAGACTTATAAAAACTTTTCAACTACAAATACACTTGACGGGTAAACAATTTCAAATTTAAGGACCAAACGCATTTTGGCCCCTTTGGGCCTTCCTCAGTGGTCACTATTTTCTATATTGTACTGACACACATCCAGATACATGTATAAAAGGTTTTAAATGTACATATATATGTAACCAGATGTTGCTTCCTGAAATTATAAAAAGGAAAAAGTGAAAGGGGGGAAGGGAACCTCACTATTATATACCAAATGTTTAGAAAATCATTAATAATTTAAAAAATTTAAATGAAATTACCTTGTATGTTTATAATTACGTTACTCCAAAATAAATGTGGTCACAGTCCATAGACATGCAAAAATAAACCCACAAGAACTGTGCACAGTGCGCTCAATATTTCTTTAACAAAAATTGTGAAGTTATGAATATGAAAGTACAAAAGTAATAATAATACATTCAAGTTATAGATCCAGGTACATAAAGATAGAAGGTGACAACAATAATATAATATATACAGAAACATCAATGCTTGCCATTTTTCATACATTATCAACTAAGGCTTTGTACCAATTTTATGTTATT